CTGGCTGAAGGGAAAAAGGACAAAATAACAGTTTAAAGAAGTTACTAACAAGCTAGGCTTATAGCTGCCAAAAATAACTTAACTATTACCAAGAACAAAAAAAGTAAAAAAAAAAAAAAAGCTAAAAAAAAAAAAAAAAAAAGCTTAACTGCAAAATGTATAAAAAAAAAAAAACTGTTCCTGTTAATGTGCTTGATTTGAGACTTGCCAGTCTGCTTGCACCACTTTGGGATCCCAAATAAACTTTGTTTGCTTCTCCCCCTAGTGTGTTTATTGGCGCGAAGCACATCGGGCAACGGACCCGCTGTTGCTTTGCCTCGGGCACTCTGTGCTGGCAACACGCTGCCACTGCAACTTCGGACTATTTCAGGTTTATATGATTTTTTAAATTATTTTATAATTTCTACTATAAATCAAACCGGTCTGTTCTGACCAAACGCTGCATTGTGATTTTTGTCCAAAAAAAAATGTCACAGAAATCAACACGGTCCCTTGGGACGGTTTGATTCTGACGGAAGAAAACACTCCATCGGAAGCGTTTCCACCAGCTCTGCTCCCGGTGCAGCTGGCATCGGAGCAGGCTGCTTGGGGTGACTGGATATTTCGGATTTATCCCATCTCCTGTGAGGGTGACCAGACCAGATATTCATAGATTCATAGACTCTAGGACTGGAAGGGGCCTCCAGAGGTCATCGAGTCCAGTCCCCTGCCCTCATGGGGCTTTGTTTTATATACACAATTATTAACCAACCCCCCCCCCCAAAAGTGTCCTGATTTTTCACACTCTATCAGGCCCCCTATCTCCAGCCCTGGTCCAGCCCCACGCTCTAGCCTCTCTGGCAGCAGCGCGCTCCCGCTCCGCCCCTTGCCCGCCCCTTTCCCAGCCCCACACAGGCTGCTGTGTCTCGCTGCAGAGCCGGCAGCGCACAGGCCAGCAGGGGGCAGTCCGCGCGGAGACAGGCTCAGGCCCTGCCTACATGGCGGGGAGAGACTCGCGCCCCGCGCAGACAGGAAGCGGCTCCTCAGCGGCCCAGGCCCAGGTACCGCACCCCGGTTCCTTCCCTTCCCTGCCCCGTGCCCGGGGGGCGCAGAGCGGGGGCCCCTCGCCCCGGGAAGCTGCTGACAGCAGAGCCCGCGGCTCGGGGCAGCAGGAGCGGGGAGCCTAGCACGGCCCCCTGCGGGGCCCGCGCTCGCTCGGGGGAGCCGGGGGTGGGTGCGGCAGCAGAAGGCGGGGTTCGCCGCGTCCGGCACCTGGAGGAAGGGAAGCGGCAGTGTCGGGTCCCAGTCCCGCCTGCTGCCCGAGCTCCGCTGGGGGCGCGCTGCGTCTCCGCCCCGCGTGTCTGACCTGTGCAGCCCCCCACACTCTAACCTTTACAGCCCAGCCTGCACCCCTCCCCGATCTATACAGCCCCCACCCCACAACACTCTGACCTCTACAGCCCCGCCTACACCCTGATCTGTACAGCCCATCACCTCACAACACCCTGCGCTGTACAGCCCCCGGCTCCACCTACACCCCCTGACCCTGCGCTCCAACCTGTGTATAGCCCAGCCTGCACCCCTCCCTGATCTCGAGGGTTACCGTATGTCAACACTGCAAAAAAGAGGACACTCCATGGGGCCCCAGCCCTGCCACAACTCCGCCCCTTCCCTGCCCCCATTCCAACCCCTTCCCCAAAGTCCCCGCCCCAACTCCGCCCCCTCCCCTGAGCACGCTGCATTCCCCCTCCTCCCTCCCACCCCCCTGGGCTCCGGCTGCTGCTGCGCTGGGGAAGTTGCTTCAGCCCCCACCGTGGTGGAGAGCGGCAAGAGCCGGGAAAGTTGGAGTCCGGGGAGGAGGCATCTTTTGCCCGAGCGCTACCGGCTTCACGGTTTGCCACACAGCGCTCGGGCAAAAGACGCTCGGGGGACCCCAAGTGCAAGTGGCTGCAGCAAAACTAACAACTCCCCCGATCTGCGGGGGCACAGAGGCGGCGGACGGCATCCGAGCGCGCAGCCGCCTCCCCCCCGGGCTCCGGCTGCTGCTGCGCTGGGGAAGTTGCTTTGGCCCTGGCATGCGGTGGAGAGCGGCGGGAGCCGGGAAAGTTGGAGCCCAGGGAGGAGGCGGCTGCATGCTCGGATGCCGCCCGCCGCCTCTGTGCCCCGGCAGATTGGCAGATCACGGGAGTTGTAAGTTTTGCTGCAGCCATTTGCACTCAGGCATTACCATGCCTCCCTATTTTCCCGGACATGTTCGGCTTTTTGGAAATTCCTCCCCGACGGGGATTTGAGGACCAAAAAGCCGGACATGTCCGGGAAAATCCAGATGTATGGTAACCCTAATCTATACAGCTCCCCACCCCACAACACTCTGACCTCTACAGCCCCACCTATACTCCGATCTGTACAGCCCACCACCTCACAACACTCTGTGCTGTACAGCCCCGCCCCACCTACACCCCCCCAACCTGCACAGCCCCCCGCCTACAACCCCCTGCCCTGTACAGCCTCTCTGCCTACACCTCCTGATATGTACAGCCCCGCCTACACCTCATCTATACAACTGCCCTCCACCCCCACGCCCCCTGTATACAACCGCCTGTCCCCCACGGTAATCTGTACAGCCCCCCCGCCCCACACACCCTCTACCTGTATAGCTCCCCACACAACACACATCCTAACCTGTACAACCCAGCCTACACCTCCCCTACACCCCATCTATACAACTGCCTGTTTCCCACCCCCTTGATCTGTTCAGTCCCCTGCTTCACACACCCCAACCTATACAGCCCTGCCTACACCCCAGCTTGTACAGGCCCACACTTTCCCCCACCCCGGTCGGCCTGTACTGCCCTGCCTATACACCTCAACCTGTACAGCCCCCTGATCTGTACAGCTTGACCTACACACACCCTGATCTGTACAGCCCTGCCTACACTCCCAATCTGTACAGCCCTGCTTACACCCTGACCTGTACTGCCCTCCACCCACAACCCCAATCTGTACAGCCCACCCTACACCTTCCTGACCTGTACAGCCCCGCTACATCTCCCCAATCTGTACAGGCTCCCATCTCCCTCCCCTCTGTTCAGCCCCTACACACTCCCTGACCTGAACAGCCCAGCAGACCCCCCACATACTTTGATCTGTACAGCCACACACACATACCCCTGATCTGTACAGCTCTGTGTACACCCCCGATCTTCACAGTCACATACCCCTGATTTGTACAGCCCTGCATACACTTCTGATCTGTACCGCCACATCCCCCACACCCTTTGATCTGTACAGCCGTGAGCACACACACCCCTGATGTGTACAGTCCTCTGCTCCCCATGTGTCTGATCTGTACAGCTCTCCAGGGTTTAGCTCCTGTTGTCTCTTCCCCTCCTAGAGTTTTCACCCATGCCATTTGCTCTGCCCAAGCACCGAGTTGGTAATCTTTGGGGCATGTTGCAAAACCAGGCACGTTTACTCAGGCTTTCCTTGAGCTGGGAATGGGCTCAACTTCTGAGAACTGAGCTGTTCTCGATCCTGCTGGTCTCCATGGGGCACTGTGCTGGCACAAAGATCCATCCACCCAGCGCTCATTGCAAACCTGGGGCCTTAGCGGGCAGACTTCAGAGATATAATGGTTCCTGCACCCAGGGCCTCCTACACTCCTACGAGGTAACTGTGAGTCCTTGGTGTGTTTCATCCACCAGCCCTTTCCAAACACGAACGCAAGTGGATTTCTATTTCGGCCTCGTTCATGAGTTCCGTAGTATTTACAGTCAAGAAAAATTCCTCTTTGCCTGTAGTGTAAAGATATTTTCACTCTCTTTTCAAAATTGAAAGAATCAGGTGAAATTAGACCTAGAAAAGTTTTTCATTAAAAAAAAAATCCACTGCAACCAGGGATTTCCTCATTTATATATAAAGCCATTCCTGCAGCCTGGGGAATGCCCAACATTGCAGCGCTGTGCTAGGGCATGAGAACCTAAACCATTTGTTTCCTCTGAAGGACAAGAAATGTGATGGGTGAAATCCTGACTCCCTTGAAGTTAATGTTAAAACTCCCACTGCCGTCAGTGAAGTCAGCTCTTAGAATCATAGAATCATAGAATA